AATAGCCTTTAGTGATAGAGTATATGTCTGGAGATAGCAGAGCATTTCATTTTATTGAACCATAATCTATTCCTTTCTGCATATTTTAACATTGATCTTGCTTTTGCATGTCAGGGCAAATGAACATGCAAATCTTTCAAATATTTGAATACATATTATATCCCCTCTCACTCTATTTGCTAATTAGAAAGCACTTCTGATGAAAAGCAAAGAATCCTTATGCTCACAAATATCTAACTGCAGTATGAGAGAGTGGCATTCTTGTTTTCATTTTGCTTCTTTCTCCTTTAGGCTTTTGCATTGACTTGTTTCAGACTCTGACCACCTAAAGGAACTGGGAAGCCTTTAGTCATTGTGCTAAACCTAACTCATAGAAATAATAGGACAGGAGTGTGAAATCACCCCCCAGCAGTAGTGTCCTGGAGTAAACCTTGCTCATTATCATACTAAATTCTCTTCCCAGAGTGTTCCTAACTACTTTGTTTAGATGTTTTCTTTAGCATACAATGATTGTACAAAATATCGAGTTTCATTATATTTTTGCACACACATATCATGCATATTGATCATATTTTTCCCATTTTCATACCATGTCCCCTCACTCTTCCCTTTTGGTAGTTCCCTTACCCTTTCTAAATAATCCCACTTTTTTAAAAAATTAGAAACAAGCTTGTTTTACATGTCAATCCCAGTTCCCTCTCCCTCCCCTCCTCCCCTGCCCCCCACTGACCCCCTATGCCAACCCTTTTCTGCTGTCCAGGGAGGGTGAGGCCTTCCACAGGGATCTTCAAAGTCTGTCATATCATTTTGAAGAGGGCCTAGACCCTCCCCAGTGTGTGGAGGCTGAGAGAGTATCCCTCTATGTTGAGAGGGCTCCAAAGTCCATTTGTGTACTAGGGGTAAATACTGATCCACTACCAGTGCCCCCATAGATTGTCCAGACCTCCAAAGCAACCTTCTTGTTCAGGGGGTCTGGAGCAGTACTATGCTGGATTCCCAGCTATAAGTCTGGGGTCCATGAGCTCCCTCTTGTTCAGGCCAGCTATTTCTGTGGGTTTCTCCAGCCTGGTCTTGACCCCTTTGCTCATCACTCCTCCTTCTCTGCAACTGGATTCCAGAGTTCAGCTCAGTGTTTAGCTGTGGGTGTCTGCTTCTGCTTCCATCAGCTACTGGATGAAGGCTCTAGGGTGTCATATAAGGTAGTCATCAATCTCATTATCGGAGAAGGGCATTTAAGGCGTTAAGGTAGCCTCTTGACTATTGCCTAGATTGTTAGTTGGGGTCAACCTTGTAGATATCTGGACATTTCCCTTGTGCTAGAATTCTCTTTAAACCTATAATGGCTCCCTCTATGATGGTATCTCTTTTCTTGCTCTCCTCTATTCTTCCCCTGACTACATCTTCCTGCTCTCTCATGTCCTCCTGTCCCCTCCTGATCTCCCCTTCTCTTTCTTCTAACTCCCTCTCCCACCATGCTCCCAATTAGCTTAGGAGATCTTGTTCCTTTCCCCTTCTCCAGGGGACCATGTATGTCTCTCTTAGGGTCTTCCTTCTACTTTAATTTCTAAAGCAAACAA